GGGGGGGGGGAGGATCAAGGCCCCAGCAGTGGGGGAGGGAGTGAGGATGGGGCAAGGGCAGGAGCTTCCCAGCTGGGGCATGGCGTGGGACTGAGTTGCGTGCAGAGGGGGGCATCTACTACCACTTTGTGCACCCCCAGGAGGGCATGAGGGGTGTGCCCCAAGATCTGCACCTGGGGCAAGGGCAGACTGCCACTGCAGGCTGGAGCTGGGGCAGTGCCAGGCTGTTCGCAGTGGGGGTGTTGGGCTGGGCTGCATTCAAGATGGGCATCAGCGGTGCTGGGAGGGAGGTTGGGGGGGCTACAGCAAATTGTTGAGTGGCTGCAGCCCCCTCCCCCCACAGTAGCCCCACTCCCAGTGCCATTGTCACCCTCCCTGAGCACAGCCCAGCCCAGCCCCAGCCTGGAACAGCCCAGTGCAGCCCATCCCACATGCAGATCTGGGGGTACAACGCCCCTCCCATGCCCTTTCAGGGTGCATGCAGCAGCAGAATTCACTGCCCCTCCCCGCACTCCCTGGACAAGCTGCTTGCAGCTTCGTCCGAGCTGTGCAGTGCCTGACCCAGCCCCACTCCCTCCCTCACTGCGGGGGCCTCGATCTGCGCCCCTCCCCCCCTGCCCCTTAACAACAAGAAAAAAATATAAAGGGGTACGTGAACTTAAAGTTTGAGACAGAATGGGTACACTTGGTTAAAAAAAAGGGTTGCAAACCCCTACCGTAAGATGTTTTGCACGCCCTCAGTTTTGGAAGGGGGTTAGGAACCAACCTCTGCAAAGTATCTGAGTCCTACTGTAAAGTTCTAGAAAAGAAAGGATTTTTTTAAGTGTTCCTCCCAGATTGCTTGCATCTGTATAATCCTGCCTGAATCAATTGGAAGTGCTAACCACCAAATTATGTCAGTATCAACTCACAAAAAGGGAAGTAGGAGCAAGCAAGAAAATTGATTTTATACTTTGGGTAATGAGCTTTATTTTAAAAATCAGAGTTGGACTGCAGGAACCTTAAGACAGGTGGTACTAATGAGTTTTAGTTTCTAATGTTTTAAAGGATGACGCATTTCATATCTTCTTTACAGATATTGATGAATGTAAGGTCATGCCAAATCTATGTAGAAATGGCCAGTGCATCAACACCATGGGTTCCTTCAGATGCATTTGCAAAGTTGGCTACACCACTGACATAAGTGGGACATCCTGTGTGGGTAAAGTTTATCACGTTAATACTCAATATTTTTGCAATCAATTTTTTTTTAAATAAGCTACATTTTCGTAGTGACATTTCCAAGTAAATTCCATGAATCCTGGTAGCACAGAAAATAAGATCTCTTTCCTTCTGTTTGTAAACTACACTTTTATCCTGGGGAAAACCCAGACTCTAGTTACTACAAATAAGTTAACCTAATGGCATTTCAGAAGCAGCAAGAGCTGAGACAGCTCAACTCACCAGTGTATAAAAACACTAAAAAACAAAAACCACATGGTTTGGAGAATGAACAACTTAATTGGTCTAAGTGCTAAATTTGCTTCGATTTCAATAGGATGACTTATAAAGTAACATATGATTCAACATGAGTGTTCTGGCTTGGAGTGAGGAATTAATTTAAATTGTGCAAGTGTGACTATTGTTTAAACATCCTTATAGCAAACACATTGACCCTTCACATGAAAAGCTCTTTCCCATGAGATTTTCATTAGTAGCTGTCTTCTGTAAAGCAACAAGTATTTAGAAAGCATTGAAAAATGATATTCTCTTTCAGAACATCCTTTGAGGTAATGATATCATAGCTAATTATTTATTATCTTCCTTAGATCTTGATGAATGCTCTCAGTCTCCAAAACCATGCAACTTTATCTGCAAGAACACAGAAGGAAGCTATCAGTGCTCATGTCCGCGTGGCTATGTCCTCCAGGAAGATGGAAAGACGTGCAAAGGTGAGGAATGAATTAGTTACAGTTTTGCCTGGGTTTTTGTTTTGTTTTGGTTTTAATTTATTATATGTGATCTTTATAAATACCATCATATTATAATTGTACCTTCACTCCTAAGAGCTGATGTAACAAAAAGACCCCTGCCATACATTACATACATTGTGCAATTAACTGGTTAATCACACAATAAATTTAATCAGCCACACATGCAAAGTAATTATACTATAAAAATGTCCATCCAGCTACAAAAATAGCCAACCAGCTACAAAGTTAGTAATTTGAAAATGTGTAACAACTTTATAGTTGCTTTCTAGCCAGCTTTAATGTGGACAAGTGGCAGGGCCAAAATTATGCTGTAATTTTCTGATCATGTGTATATGGCATAGCACACATTGCACACAGTTTGTCTTCAGCTTGATATAAAACTAGTGATTACATTTAGATTTTAAAAAGTGAGTGAAGAAAATGTTGCAGGAAAAGTGCTGCACCAGTTCCCTAATAAGCTTCATTCACTTTTGCCAAGACTGAAGTTGATCTCAATAGAATGTGAAATTACCAGCTCGGCCTAAATTTGCAGTGCTCCTTAAATTCATTTTCTAACCATTATGGAATCAAGAAGCCTGATTCTCCATTATGCTAGTTTTACAGAGTGTAAATGCATTGACTAATTTTATTGATGCCAGAATAATGCCGAGGTAACAGAGAATCAACACAATTTAACTTGCACCAGCCTTTTCATGACTGGTAGATAAGGGCTTAAATGTCATGTGATTATTAGAATAAAGCAATTGTTACTGAGTTAACAGAAAATACTTTCAAATCATTGTTTGCAGTTGAAAGAGATCATACCTTCTAATGAAGAATAATCTGTTACTTTCAGATCTTGATGAATGTCAAACCAAGCAACACAATTGCCAGTTCCTCTGTGTTAACACACTTGGGGGATTCACATGCAAATGTCCTCCAGGTTTCACTCAACATCACACAGCTTGTATTGGTAAGAACAAATTGACTGAGTTTTCCTTATCCTCAGTTTCCTCTTCCTCCTCCTCCTCCAAATTAGCAATGCTAAACAAGCCTTTTAATTCATTTTGGCACTATAGATTTGGTAAAAATACAAAGAAGATAATGTTTTATTTCTAAGTAGTTAAGAAAAGGCAAGTAATTATAAAAATACAAAAAGCCTGAAAAAAAATCAAAGATCACTTCCTTATTTTGTGAATATTTGTAGGCAGTTACTACATATTACATTCTAAATGTAACCACATGGAGACAAAGGGGTAAATATTATTAAAGTATGACTTTAAAAATCTAGCTAATCAAAAACAGATTGCAGAATGTTTTTCCACTGATAGACACAGATGTCATTAGGTCTTTAGCATATACATGTTGCCAATTGAAACCATCCTAATGTGGCTAAGTTTCAAAAGAG